TAATTCTGCAAAATGGAGTTGAGTGGTTTCTTTCTTGGTTATTAAGTGAAGCAGCCCTGACACTTGATGAATTTATCTTGTCTTTTGATGTGCACTGAGAGCATATGCACCAAAGACAAATTCCTTGTGTGTCCAACCACAGTTGGCCAAAAAAGCATTCTATTATGTTCCGTTCCATTCTGTTCCGTTCCATTCCATTCCATTCCATTCCATTCCATTCTACTATCTCCTCTTTCCATCATTACATGGTGCTCAAGGAGCTGCCAATAATAATAATGAAATAACAAACATATTCTAAAAATCCAATTAAGGCATCATTTAAATGATTTGATCAAAACAAACAGCACCCACTAACTCAGCAGGAAACTAGTTTTCATCATCAAAGGATTTGTTTGCTGCCAGTATTTATTTATCTGCTTTCGTTATCCCCACTATATAACAGTAAAATATTTAAGTTTTCCCAAAGACTTTAAAGCACTTCAAATGGATTTTTTTACACTGAAATAGTGGAAAAGGTAAGATAAACAAACATAAAATATAGGAAGAGGCAGATCAACACCACAATCTAATCAAACTGAGCTGTTAAGTACACCCCGTTGAGTTTGGTGGAACTCTCTCTGAGATGAGAGTGCTTAAAAGATCTACTATAATCTTGGAGGAAGCTCTGTGCTTTTTATTGCAAATGCCTAGAAGCAACGGGAAATATTTCATACGGAGTTTTGCAGTGCAAAACTTCAACCATTTCCTTTTTGGCCACATTAATAATGTGAACAGCAATCAAGCTTTCAGTAACATAAAATTTGAGGAACGGATATTGTCATTAGGAACTCAGCAAGTACAGATACGTGAGAGGTATCTTTACTTTCTATCGATCTGAGCATTTTTAAAGGAAGTAGGGAAGAGGTTGAGGCTGGTTTTGTCCTCCCCACATTTTCCAAACTTAGTAAAAACCCAGGAAGGTGGTTGTCTGCTTATGCAAAATCAAAATAGGGGAGCAACTTCACAAATATCCTTGCATCCAACTATGTCTTGGTTGGTGGCTGTGCAGTGGTGGGTTCCTACCTGTTCGGACTGGTTCAGACGAACTGGTAGTAGCTTGGCAGCCTGGGCCGCTGGAACCGGCCTGCCACGCCCCCGAACCGGTTCTCCTGGTGGTGGCGTAGGTGCCGCCATCTTGTTTTTTTGCTTCTGTGATTGTGCAGAGCAATTTTTGTTATACTGTGCATGCACATGCAGCGTGCATCAAGCACGCACATGTGTGGGGTGCATCCCTGAGTGAACCGGCAGTAGCGGCTGCTGGAACCGCCACTGTAGCCATGTTTAAAATAAACATTTCAGTAAATTTCAGTGCTTGATTAAACAAGGTTGGGAGAATTAATATTTGGATGGGAGCCACTGGGGAATTCCAGGGGCTTGGGCCAGACTCAGAAGTTGAAAAGAAGAATGAATGAACTGGGAAATTGATGTGTTTCCATATTAGCCTGTTTCCCAGAATGGATGTGAAAGGTGGTTCCCTCAATAAAGAAGATGTAACTAACTGCACTCAATATCAAGACCACTGTCATGCAGGACCTACCGTAATTGACACAAGGAGTCAAGTGTCCATCATCAGAGAATGTTTGCCCTCCCCAGGCTTCAGGAAAATCTCCGGAACCTGGGGAGGGGTTGTACACGCATGCACAGATGGGCAGGGAGGATTGAATTGGTATGCTCACGCGTCCATGCATGACAGTCCACAAGCACACAATTTTGGCATGCCATAAGAAAACAGTTTGCTGTCATGTGCTTTAAACAAAACAAAATTATTAAAATGGCATATCACCTAATTTTCCGTTTGCAACAATATTTACACCAGTAAAGGGTTGGGGTATTTTTTTAGTCCTTCCATCTTGTTCCCATTTTTTTGTAATCAACAAGAAAGAATGAAGTTTGTCTTGCACGATCTGATCTGCATCAGGCATTGGGATAAGAGGTTTAATCTTCCGAGTTTTCAGACTCATGCTGGAGCGGATCCCCTCTGCTAGAGAGAAATTTCCTGATGATGGGCTTGAAAGATTAAACCGACCCAGATTGGATCCTGCAACGATATGCTGGGACACATATATTCACCTTCATTTTCCCTGTAAGCAACTGTCCCCATATGGATAGTTATACTTGAGGCAACACAAAGACACACAAGAGACCCAAAATCAAGCTTTGAAAGGGTCACAGTGCCATTTTACACATCAAATTGCCTGCTTCTAATTCTCTAAAATAACTAGGATGGATATAAACCTTTAGAAGATTTGTCTGACTAAGAACGTAAATTATGACTTACTAATTCGTGCTTTCATAGAGGTTTAATGAGAGGTTAAAGAACATGAATATATTAAAATACATCATCACATTATTATCTCAAGATTAAACATTTAGATTTGGGGTTCAGACTGAAAATATGCCTCTTGAGCTACTTTGAGAGTTTATGCTATACTCTACTCATGTTTTACATCATCACGATAACCAAGATGTTAACATTTTAGAAAGGGAGATGGGTTTGAAATACTCTGGCTAAGATTCTAGAACTATTGCAATCCTTTTACATTCAGTGTATTATTTATATATCCAGCCAGTCCAGAAAGGACTGGCAAAGAAGATTCGCTCTGTTGCTTCTCCATCAATTGTCTCACAACTACTCTGAAGGTCATAACCCACACTGTGAAAACAAGGCCTTATGTGCATTTTATTTCTTGTCTTCAATTAGTCCTCTTAGAATCGTGTTAAGGAAAACAAAAAGGGAAATGAAGTACATAGTCCTTCCGAATGGGCTGTTACATTACATACCACAGAATCATTTTCTCCAATATGATCTTCTGGCAACTGGATGATTGTGTGGCACCATTTGGAGGATAATTTTGATCTACAGGATCTTGAATATAATTGATCTAAAATGATGAGGATAAAGAGTTTCCTTCTTTGTATTATTGTCTATCATATGTTACTGTAATAAGAGAATAATGTTTATATGTTAACATAACATGGAATGTATTTAATTCAGAATGTGTCTCTTTTTAAACAAATCTAAAGGTTCTCCAGCCAGCTATGACCCTGATCTACTAGATGGCATATTAAAAATGGTTTTCAAAGAATACCTGAATTTAGATTCCAGCTGAGACTGTGATTAAGGTGGAAAGCGGTGGCATAGAGGTGAAGACACTTGCCTTCTACTTGGAAGGTTGAGAGTTCAATTCTAGGCAGCAACAAATGCTTCTCTACCCAGGCGCAAAGAGAAAAGATCTGCTGAGATCTCCACATTGGCATCAGGAAGGGCATCCGGCCAGTAAAGACTCAGCTCCACCCAGTCACCCCGACTCCACCCCAATCAAAGGGATTACAAGACTGTAAAAAGAAAATAAAAATCACTTATGTAATTTAATCTACCCGAACTATGATTAATGTAATGATTAAGGCATCAGGATAGAAACCAGAAGGCCATGAATTCTAGACACACCTTAGGCACGAAGAAAGCTGCTGACTTTGATCCATTCATACACTTTCAGCTCCAGGAAGAAGGGAATAGTAAATCACTTTGGAAAAACTTTGCCAAGAAAAATGGAGGGACTTGTCTAGGCAGTCTCTGAGAATCAGACAAAATTATAAACAACCCCCCAAAAAATATCTGACTATCATTCAATAGCATTTAAACCAGGGGTGAAATCCAGCAGGTTCTGACAGGTTCTGGAGAACCAGTAACAGAAATTTTGAGTAGTTCGGAGAACCGGTAGCGGAAATTTTGAATAGTTCAGAGAACCAGCAAATGCTGGCCCCAGAGTGGAGTGGGAGATTTTGCAGTATCCTTCCCCTGGAATGTGGTGGGAATGGAGATTTTGCAATATCCTTCCCCTGCCACACTCACCAAGCCACACCACGCCCACCAAGCCACGCCCACAGAACCGGTAGTAAAAAAAAATGAATTTCACCACTGATTCAAACACACACCAAAGGGTTACCAATTTCCAAATGTGTAGTGAGATCAGAAAAATAGTCACAAAGTAGAATTGCTTCAACAGTATGTCTCTGGCCCTGGATAAAAAAGGCTAACGGAAGGAATCATCTGACTCTGTAAGAGATGACCAGGCTGAGCCCAAGAGAGGGGTCAAATGCGTCTTCAGTCTCAAGTCCCTTCACGCCCAAAAGAGATCTACCATGAATTCCATTGACCACCAATCTACCACCAATTTGCTTTGACTGTTAGTAGTACAGATTCTTCTGGAGAGCTTTAGCATTCAATAAAGCTATCTTCATCTGAACTGTCTGGACTGCCAATTTCCTGTACTTTGCAGATCCAGTTTTGAGCAGGCCTCTGTATTTCTGTATGCAAAACACTAAACAAAGCAACAATCAACATTTGGCCGCCATATTGTAGAAACCTGCTGGGGAGGAAGGGGAACCGTAGACAACTTCCTCCAGTTGTTTGACAGGTCATTAAAAGTTATCGTGGATAAAGTTTTTATATTTGATTAACACTGAATTATTTATTTGTTTATTATTCATTCATTCATTTATTTATTATTCATTTATTATTTATTCATTTATTATTTATTTATTATTTATTTATTTATTTATTTATTTATTATGTCTGCACCAACAACAATAAATGTGGCTGTATGATTCCTCTTAAATGTGAAGGATCCAGAGTATTAGTTCTTATGCAAGCTGTTTTGTTACCCCTAGATGTCCCTGCTTGATCTAACATTCAATCTTGAAAGAATAAATGTACTTAGCACCAGATTTTGCATGTCACAATTTTTCTTGCATCACATTGCTGTCTAAGGCAGGTTATATCATCCCACCCTTATAGTCATAAAACTATCTCTAATATTCTTGCCCCAGAGGTTAAATAAAATGTACACAAGTAATAGAAATACAATTGTATTTTATTTCAATTCTGCAAAATTTGGTCACCATTAATCAATTATTGCTTAATGCAGTTGAGAGAATAGTGTAGAGTATTTTGTTATTGCTGTTAAAGAAGGATTTTTCCCTCTGCCCCTCAGAGATGTCATTAAATAGATGAAGCCAACACAGGTTCCGTTTTACACAGGCAAATAGGAGAGGGTTAAATTAATGGTCTATGTAGCTTGTATCCAAGCATATTTTATTCAGTTAAAATGTTGGTACCAATGAGATGCTGATACGTTTGTAAACTGAACCGTCAGTACATGAAGAATTCCACAGGGCCTTAAAAAGAAGAAGAGAATGTCAAATGAACGCTCAAATATTAAGGTCCAGGTATCATTGACAACAGACATAAAAGAACATTTGTGTTACCAATCCTTTGTAATTTAAGAAGGTTACATTAAAAATATTTGATTTTTTTAAAAACTGTGACAATAAATACTTAAATAATAATTAAAATATGTAAGATTGTGCTATAATAATCAAAACGGCATCTAAAGCACTATCGGTATGCCAAAAAAGAGGTCTCCCAAATTGAAGGATAGAAAGAGCAAGGGGATAATCAAGTATAGAGTGGGGAAATGAATTGATTAATGTTAATTAACAAATAATAAATTACCTATGCTCGGAATTCAATCTCTTGACTATTGCAAAGAAAATTTGATTGTATGCAACATACAAATACATGTTTTGGGTAGTTCAAATGAGTTGCTAAAAGCTAACAGAATATTTAGCAGGAATTCTTCAGTGAGAATCTAATTGTTGCCTCAGGTTTACAAATTGACTGTGAAAATGGTAACAAACCCCATTTTCAATGTAGGTAGATCTGTCTGCCTTGCAATCAGGTTGCATGATGGCATTATAATGAATGGATATAGTATAGTATGAATATATCCTTGTAAAAACACAACACAAGAGGGAGAGAGAGAGGGAGGGAGGGAGGGAGGGAAGGAAGGAAGGAAGGAAGGAAGGAAGGAAGGAAGGAAGGAAGCAAGGAAGGAAGCAAGGAAGGAAGGAAGGAAGGAAGGAAGGAAGGATACTTTCCTGTTTATTGTCAAACATATCTAAGAACCAGAAGAAATATAAACATATTAACTGACATATAAATATGAATACGGTAAGTGTATCACCACTATGCATTTTGAGATGACAATATGTTTTAAATATTGAAACAAAACAATGATTAATTGGAAGAAGGGGAAAAAATATCCAGAATAGCAGAAGGAATTAACAGTGACTGTAATGGCTATTATCAGGGATACCTCTTACATCTTTGTGTAGTATTCCAGTCACCACATAATTATAGAACAGAATGTGGAAAAGTGCAAATAGAGCATTCAAGATAATGAGGATGTTGCAACTGTATTCATATGCGGAAATACACAGAAATTTGAGACAAGAAGTTCAGAAAAAAAGATAGTTGAAGAAGAAATAATCAAGATGTATAGAACATAGAGAAAGTGAAATATGAGCATAAGGATCTGTCCATTCAAACAGGGCTGGACGTGATTCAAAACAAAGGAAGCAATTCTTAACACAGCATGTAACTAACCTGTGAAATTTGTGGCCACAAGAGATGATGACAGCCATTAACTGATATGGCTTAAGGGGGGGAAATTAAGCATGTTTTAAAGATATCAAGATAAGGCTTAAGACCATAAAATATTTTTAATGCTTGTTGGACATCTTAGAAAATGCTTAGACATTAACTTGGCTGTCAACATCACTATGATGGAAGTATAAAATCATAAAAAAATATAAGCATTAGATGGGCTTGCCACATTATTATCGGGGTTAGTATTGATTATTAGTATTATAGCCATATTGCTAAAATGGTTTGAGGAGAAGCACTGAAGGGTGGGCTGCCTGTATATTTGTTGAACTTGCTTGGACACGTTCATTCAGTGTACCTAGCAACAGCTGAAAGAATAATATGGTTTAAAAATGGAAAAGCAGTTATGAAATAGATACTGTACCAAAAATATGGAATCTATAAATATATGAGTAAAACTTTGCTTTAAAGAAAACAGTTTCTCCCACTCACTTAATTTTTTTTTAATCTGTGTACANAATGAAATGAAATGAAATGAAATGAAATGAAATGAAATGAATAACACTATTAGTGGTATGTATTTTGGTAAGTCCCAGGCTTACCTAGAGCAGTAGTCTGATTTTGATTTTAATATTTCTGGCATACACCCTTTTAATTTTCTATTAGGAATTCAAAATTCCATTTCAAATATGCAATCACTAGCATCCCACATTGTCAGCTGTCGTTTTCTTGCCGTCCCTTTTCTTGTAGAATTTTTCTCTCTGAAGATTTTTCCCCCATTTTCTTCTGTATCTTTAAGCCAGAAAGGTAAAACCAATCAATGTGCAATGCTGAAGCCCATAACGGAAAATGACAAATGCACCATGGAGGAATATAACTTATAACTTTTTCTTGCAATAACAATTGACTCACTGGCTTTCAATGTATCAGAAGGGGCATTCTTTTATTCCTAGGACTAAAAAGTTCTAAGAAAGATCAGCATGATTGTTCAGATGCTGGATGCAGACTACAGAGAAAGTTATCAGAGTTTTAGAATTTATATTGTTCCGAGTAACTTTCAAAGCCTGCCTATAGGGAAAAAAAATCAATTGAGAAAGGGAAAAGTCTTGATATATTCCACTACTTTCCAAACTTATGTAATAGCTATTTGAATGATTGCCATCAACTGTTGTATTTATGGACCAGGCCCTGCCACTCTCTGGAACACCTCAGGCTTCCAAAGTCAGTTGTAACTGATTGAAGATATGTCTGTGAATGAAAAGAGATGATGACCACTGTGAACAATGAAAGTGGTGAGTGGAACGGAGAAGAAGAGAATGGAAGATTACCCATAAGAGCTCTGAATGTCAGTTCCTTGCCAGGAGACCATCAACCAACGGCTTCTAATGGGTTTGAGTGACAGGAGTCAAGGAAAGCAGCTTGTTTTCAGCAGCAGTGGAGCCTTTAATAAGGACAGTAATCTAGCCAAAGGGATGCGGTGGCTCAGTGGCTAAGACGCTGAGCTTATCGATCAGAAAGGTCGGCAGTTCAGCGGTTTCAATCCCTAGCGCCACGTAACAGAGTGAGCTCCCGTTACTTGTCCCAGCTTCTGCCAACCTAGCAATTCGAAACATGTAAAAAGGCAAGTAGAAAAATAGCTTTGGTGGGAATGTAACAGCGTTCCCTGTGCCTTCGGCGTTTAGTCATGCCAGTCACATGACCATGGAGATGTCTTCGGACAGTGTTAGCTCTCTGGCTTTGAGATGAGCACTGCCCCCTAGAGTTGAGAACGACTAGCACATATGTGTGAGGGAAACCTAAAGCTCTTCAAAATGATGACCTGTCAAGACTTCCCTTTGCTCAAAAAAAGACAGCTTTGGATCTATCGCAGGGTTGAGTAATTAGGAGCCTCATATTTTAATGCAAAGTCCTGCTAGGCTTGGATTCAAGGACATGCTGGCTACGATCTCAACAGGAGAGGAAAATATCCATATTTGTTAGAAAGTTCTAAAAGTTCTTTTTTAAAGTTCATGGGCTTTTACCTTAAGCCCATATACTGTAGTTTTTAAAGGGCATGTCATTGCAGACAGAAAGGCATCCATTCCCAATCTTATAAGTCATTAAGTCTCAAATAAAATGAATGATATATGTCCATGTGTTTACCAATCCCCACTTCTTTAACTTAAAACAAATATAATTGTGTAACCATAAATACTTTGGGAGGGGGGGTGTTGTAGAAACTATGTCGTCTATGCATTTGCAGACAACTTTAATGCACAATTACTCTTACTGTTTTCAAACAAACATAGGCTTTGAATATGGCACGGTACATCATAATCTTTCCAAATTATGAGATATTTTAAAATTTTGAAAGAACAGCTTCAATTAAAATTATACATTTTAATTTGGGGCCAAGAAAATGATTATAACCTGTTGCATTATAATTTGGTGGAAATGTATCCCGACTCTTTTAAATCTAAGTAAAATTTTTAAAAAAGGATGTTTCATTCAGCATCCAATTTAGATAATCACACAAAATTAAATTGAGGAAATGACAACACAGAGATAGATAGATAGATAGATAGATAGATAGATAGATAGATAGATAGATAGATAGATAGATAGATAGATAGATAGATAGATAGATATTCTAAATTATTTTAGATGTACATTTCCTAACTACTTTTTAGGATCTGTATTCATGACATTATTGTTTTCCAGATGGTCCCCTTTGCATGCATTCTCTGAATTATCCTTTTGCCCCAATATGATCTTTTTAAACTGAAATCAATATTTATTTCAGAAATAAACATACACATCATTTGTTTCTATGAGTGACATGTTTCAGATAATATATTTAATAATCTAAAATGACATTAAACAAAGAGGGAAGAACCTGCTCAAGATATATGAAATACAAATGAAAATCATAAGTGCAGCCACACTTTTCACTTGGGTTAATGGCTGAGTTGTTGGTCCCAATAAAGGTGACTAAATAAGGACTACCTATATTTCCAAAGTGTAGGAAACTTAACAAAAATCTCAGTTTCCTTTACGTCTGTTCTAGACACTTTTAAAAATGGTTTTTATTCTAGTGAAAGTAGGACTATCAATAGCATGGCATATAAATGTTGCACATTAAGTTACAGCATAAATAAATCCCCTATTAATAATCTCTATTCATTTTGCTTAATTTCTCCTGGGAAAATATATTTGGTGTTATTTATTAAAGGTGGAACTTGCTATTAATAATGGATGTTATACTACTATTTTAAATCCTATACAGTGCTCCAGAATAAGCTGATGGTTTCAGGAGGCAGAAAAAGAACAGGAACATAACAAATGATGGAAAGTATTCAAATAACTTGTAAAAGTCACTGAGAAATTGTTTCTATTGCCTATCTATCTTTCAGTGTCTCTTGGTGAAATTGTGTTCAGTTCTCCACCATATGCCTCTAGAAGCAATGATACAACATCTCAATTCAACTGGCAATCAATCAATAACCAAGAAAGTTATCTTACTACTTTTATCTTTACTTTACTTGTAATTATTTTAAAATAATTCTCTCAACACTGTCAAAATATTCACTAAGGCTGCATTGCTATTAGTCTTCTCATCATTCCTATCACCCATTTCCTCTCACTTATGACTACAAGGCTGTAACTTTGTAGCTTGCATCCTTACAATCTATATAGATATTGATTGTTTCCTGATTGCTTATTTGTACCCTATGACTATCATTAAGTGTTGTACCTTATGATTCTTGATGTCAGCCTCTGTTTTGCTGCTTGCTTTTCGGCTGCCATTGAAACGGGGAGGGGGGGGCATGGCATTTGGGTGTGGGAAATAGTCTGTACAGGAGAGACTGTAAGAAGGGAGTTGTTCTCACCATCTACTGCGCATGTAGCGGGGAGAGTAGTTTTCCACCAAGGCCAACTGTCCGGCATACCAACCTGATGATGATTTTTG